GTAGGAGCCGAGTCATTCTTAGATAGTTAGACGTCCTCATAGTGAAGTAATCGTGTTATCTCAATTATCTTTAAATATGGCCAGACGTCCTCATCGCGAAGAAACAATGTCATATGTCGACCAGAACTACTCATCATATATGAGCCGAGTCATTCTTAGATAGCGAGATGTTCTCATCGTAAAGGAACCATGCTATCCCAATTATCTTTAAAGATGGCCAGACGTCCTCATCACGAAGGAATAATGTCATCCGTCAACCAGAACTCCTCATCATGTAGGAGCCGAGTCATTTTTAGATAGCCAGACGTCCTCATCACGAAGGTACCGTGTTATCTCAGTTATCCCTAGGCATGACCAAAAGTCCTAATCATGAAGGAACAATGTCATACATCAGCCTGATCTCTCCTGAATGAAGAATGAAGAGGATTTCCCATTAAAGCATGAGGTCAACTGGACGAAAATTCCTTGTCTTTTTATCTTTGCTTTATTCTTGTTAACACGAAAATAAGCAAAGAGGGGCAGTTGTCGATAGTTATTTTTGTCCAAGTTTAGTTATTTATTATTATTATTATTATTAATATTGTTACAAAACCTGAAGGCCCAAATAAACAAACCAAGAGCCCCGTTTTACAAGTCCAGACCTGAGAAGTCCAACAGCCCAACAACCTGAGTAGGCCCAAGACTCGTTTAGGGTTTTTTGCTAGGGTTTTACATATTTCAAGCTCCAGTCGTTAGCTCCCTCAACCGTCTGATCAAATTGGATATGAACGGCCCAGATGATTTCAGTAGAAACACTAGGGTTTCATTACAACGCTAGGGGCTATTCCGGCCGCCCCCTTAGGTTGATGATGATTCCACTGTCGCCGCCTCCAGGTGCTCCAACCAGCAGCCAACACTTCACCACTGGATCTAGAAGATCTGGGTGCATTTAATGCACCCAACAATATTTACCGTACACCTCACAACCATAGGGTGACAAGAAAAGGGCTATATAAACCCTTACATGTAACAAGAAAAGGGGAATAGAGAGACGAAAACAACGAGAGGCATAGAGACGAACGAACGACAGCAAGCAACGAAGAAATACACAACATCCAATCCACGAAAAAAGCTAGTAAAATAGAGAGAAGAGATTGAGTGAATCTTACCTTCGTCGGAGCCTCCACGCATCATCGGAGAACTGAAACATCGAAAGTAAAAAGCCTAGATCTACTGCATATGGTGGGTTTTTAGAGGAAAAGAAGGCTGGATTCGACTTTAGGGTAAACAGAGGGTCAATTTGGTGTATTTTCCCGAATTTCAGCCACCTTGAACGGTGGTCGACCGCATCGACCGATCGGTGACCGATTTCCCTCCGGCAAGGGAATTCTAAAGAGAACCGAGAACTTCTCTCTCTTTAGAGAGAGAAGTAAAATGAGAGAAATGAGGATTGAAGGCCTTAAGGCTAGATTTTGGGGTATTTATACCATCCCTAAAATGACGCCATTTAAGGGAGGGGCCTCTGTGTAATTTTACGTATGGGTAAATCCCGCCCGCAGTCGATGTACTCTGTAAGTCTTCCATTTTAGTCACCAAATTAATTGTATATGCATTTTAATTTGGCATTTGCATTTTATTTTATATTTTTAGTCACTTACAAAATTTATATATATTTTAAGGTAAAATATCCATGTTAGTTCCTATTATTTTAATAATTTATATTTTAACTCCGAGTATTAATAAAGGTTAAATTACATTTATAGTGCCTAAAATATGAAGTATTTGTATTAGTAACCTAGAACTTTGATATTTATATAATTTAATTATTAAATTTATTATATGTATTCTAGTTATATTATTTTAAACAATGAATCATAAAAATATGTCCTTAAACTTATTAGGAATGTATTTTAAATGATTTGTTGGTATAAAATAATATCCCTAATGTTTTTATGGGATCATAAATTAAATTAAATTCAAATTTTTAAATTTTTACTGCAAAGATATTAAATTAATAAACAAATGTACGAATTTTGGGCGTTGTGGGGGTGCTAATCCTTCCCACACGTAATCGACTCCTGAACTCATTTTCTGATAAGCAAACTCTTTTTGTGCTATTTTAATAATATTTTTATAAATTTTATTAAAATAACATATCATTTTTGGTGACTAATCACACCTCGATAAATTATTGGTGGCGACTCCTCAAATTGTGTTTTATCTTATGTAAGAAGACAAACACCTACTTTTTCGAGACGAGATTTAAAAAATAACGACACTTGTTTTGTCGGGCAAAGATCGTCTCGACAGTTACATATATAGTTTACATATAAATAGATTGTATATATACATAATATATATACTATAGGTTACATATATAGTTTACATAAAAATAGATTGTATATAATATATATATAGTTTTTATATATTATATATAGTTTATACATACATGTACTATAAGTTACATATATAGTTTACATGTATACATATATAGTTTACATGTATACATATACTATATGTTACATATATTAACTATTGTTTATAGACTATAAGTTAAGGTTACATATATAATTTATATAAACTATTGTTTATATAAACTATTGTTTATATAAACTATATATGAATTATCAACTGTGTCTATACATATATAGTTTATATAATTTAGGGTTTAAGGTTTCTATAAACTATATACTTTATTATTTTATATAGTTTATGCATAGTATTTCTATAAACTATATAAGTAATTTACTTTATATAGTTTATATATATATAGGTTATATATATAGTTTATATATATAGGTTATGTATATAGTTTATATATATAGGTTATATATATAGTTTATATATACTATACGTAGTTTATACATATATGTACTATAAGTTACATATATAGTTTACATGTATACATATACTATAGGTTACATATATTAACTATTGTTCATATACTATAGGTTAATGTTACATATATAATTTATATAAACTATTGTTTATATAAACTATATATGAATTATCAACTGTGTCTATACATATATAGTTTATATAGTTTAGGGTTTAGGGTTTCTATAAACTATATATTTTATTACTTTATATAGTTTATATATATATATATAATCTATAGATTACTTATATTAGCTATACATACATATATATACTATATTAATATAAATTATAATTTATAAACTATATACTTTATATAGTTTATACATATATAGTTTATATATATATAAATTATAGTTTATAAACTATAGACTTTTTATAGTTTATACATATATAATTTATATACATAGTTTATATATATAATTCATATAAACATAATTTATATATATAGCTTATAATAATTATATAGTTTATAATATAAATATAGTTTATATATATAGTTTATATATAAACTTATATTATATTAATATAAATTATATACTTTAATACTTAATACAGTTTATATACTGTTTACACATAGTTCATTAATAAATTTTAAAGTTTATATAAAATCTATATAAATTTTAATATAAACTATTTATATAGTAATATATATATATGTACTTAATATATTATATATATAAACTATATACATAAATCTTATATATTATATATTTATATATATAAATTACATAGTTTATTAATAAACTACATATAAACTATATATATTATATATTTTTCTTTATATATATATATATATATATTATAATTTTTTTCAATTTTTTAAATGAATGCAATTTACTATATTTTTCATTATTTCTTCACATTTTGCATTTATTTCGATTTCATCCTTTTGTATTTTTTAATTTATTTAAATTTTAAGTCTTTCACTTTTATATGTATTCAATTTAGTCTTTAAATTTATATTTGTATCTTCATTTGGCCCATTGTTAGTTGTTATTTATATTTTTGTAACTGGCCCATAACTTTTTAAATGAGTATAATTTAGTCCTTTTTTATATTAATTTAAACCTCACATTTTAAATTTATTTCGATTTGGACCCTTACCTATGTGTGTTGTTTAATTTATATTTTAAAATTTTATTTGTAATTTTACATTTCTTCAATTTTGTCCTTAAATTTTTTTTTTACAAAATTGATCCATGATTATTATTATTTTTTTGTAATCTACTCAAATCATATACAATTACAACTTGCAATTCAACAATCACGAAAAATGACAAAATAATTGATCCAAAAATAAAAACGACCCGACCTGAACTCAATCTGTATCCGATAAATATCCGACATGAATTTTATCTGTCAATGATGTCACCCGATCTGAACGAGATCTGACTGAAGTCCACCTGAACCTGAATTAAACTGGTCTTTATCTGCTTCAGACTTGAACTGTTTTGACCTAAATTGACATCGATCCGAACTGAAAATAACTCGACCTGAACATGATCTGGATCTGGTGTTAAATCAACCTAAAAATGACCCGAACTGATTTGACTTGTATCCATCTGATCCGAGTCAAACCATCAAATTGATCTGACTTGACCTATATCCGATTTTACCCGACCTAATGGCAACAAAGGGAAGACACTTAGAGGAATTGAGGACCCTTATATATATATGCGCGCGTTGAGAATTTCCCGGGTTTCAAGTTATTTTATTGAAATGTCAAAATTATCCTTTAATTAAGAATATCCTAATTAGGGGGTGCAACATCCAGGTCTGGGGTGCAAACGAGCCGAGTCGAGTTCGAGTATTGCTGAGCTCGATTCGAACTCGAAAACTTTAAACATAAGCTCAACTCGACTTAAAAATTCGCGAGTCTAAAATTTTTAAGTTTGACTCGAATTCAAAAAATAGTAGTAAAACTCGACTCGAACTCGAAAAGGCTCGAACTAAAAAAAATAAAAAATTCAACTGAAACTCCGGACTCAAACTCGATTGAAGCTCGATTCAAACTCGATTTTAAGCTCGATTCAAACTTGATTGTGAGCTCAATTCAAACTCGATTTAAGCTCGAGGATGGGTTAATATTCTGTTGCTGAAACCCACCCCTTTTATACATTCAACTTACCCTTATTCCCCAGAACAATCGATGTTGGATATCAACTCACACATAGGACAGTGTATTATACTCCTTTCTCGACCTGCCCTTTTGATCCCGACGAAACGCTTATTCTCAATGGCTGCCACCCACTCCCACGGCGGCGTTGCTTATCGAAAACCCCATCAAAACCCACTTCTTCTCTTCCTCTTAACCCTTTCCCGACCGCTCTCCCCGACTCCTCCGTAATCTGGAACAGATACTCGTGTAAATCGTTCGCTTGTCTTTTACAAAACAACCCCATAGGCTTTGATCTCAATACCCAACGCTCATCCCTGCTGAAATACGCTTCCGAGCTCGACCTTCCCGTTAACCGTTTCATGCAATTGGCTAAGTCGGCTAACTCGGTGATCCGTCTCGGCATCGACATAGGCGGCGGAACTGGGACATTCGCTGCTTTGATGAAAATTTTCTACAATGTCACGATGCTGACCACCACCATGAACGTCAATGCACCTTACAATGAAGCAGTGGCAGCAAGAGGGTTGCTGCCTTTACACGTGCCTTTGCAGCAGAGGCTGCCAGTTTTCGACGGGACGATGGATCTGGTCCGGTGCGGGAGGGCGGTGAACCGGTGGATACCTTCAACGGTGATGGAATTTATGTTCTATGATGTGGATAGAGTGTTGAGAGGAGGCTATTTGTGGGTGGACCGATTCTTTAGTAAAGCAGTGGATTTGGAGAAAGTTTATGAGCCAATGATTGGGAAACTTGGGTACAAGAGAGTGAAGTGGGCAGTGGCTAATAAGACTGATCCAAGCGGTTTGAAGAATGGGGAAGTTTACTTGACTGCTGTGTTGCAGAAGCCTGTTTCAAGGTGATGATTTGGGTTCAAAGCTTGAGGATTCTTTGAATTTTTGAGGTAATTTTACTGCATTTCTTGGTTAAGGTTGCTATTTGATCTGAGGTGAAGACGAGGCATATTCATATTGAAGTGAACTGGTTCGACCCAGAAGAGAGATAACTTTCTTGAACTTGGGAACAGCAACGTCGGCTGCAACTTTGCAGTCCATTTCTAAATCCATGGAGGATCTCGTTGAGATTGAAGAAGATTGATTATTACAAGTCTCGGAGAGTAATCTAATGAGTTTCTCGACACTTTGAAGCCCAGAAGCAGCTTCTTGAATAGCGGTTTCTTCCACTTTCGATGTGAAACCGTTGTTTCTGTAACTCGTAATCAACTCGGTAGCCATGACTGCAACAAAACCATTCAAAGGAAAAAAGAGTGAAAAGAAAATGAAGAGAAGTGCCGTTGATAAAGGGAAAGGGTGGACTTATGGTCAAATTACGTGACTAAACTGTTATATGCTATTTATTTATTGAAATATCTTGGACTAGTTTTAATAATCTAGGGTTTTAGTGGAGGGAACATTCATGTATTTACAATTTTGTCTTCATCTGATTATTGTGGGTTAATTTCGTATTAACGAAGGTTACCACAAAGGGGAAAAGTCGGGTCAAACTGTTAAAAGTTTTGATTTTTAATATTGATTTTGTAATTTAAGTAATTGATAATTATTGTTATTATACACATTATGATGATTAGTGTAGTATTGAGGAGATAATTATTTTTCATATTATTTTAGTTTAAACCGAATATGATCAATTGTATATAAAACCATGTAGTTTATGCACATTTTGTATTTAAGTTTAATTCCAATTTTGTAAGTTTAATTTTACATTTACTTGAATTTAATCATCATTCTAAAGTCAGTATATTTAGCTTAAATTAGTCCTCACATTTAAGTTTCTCTTAATTTAGTCTCTGTTTAGGATTGTTTTTTTTAATTAGTTGTGTATATTTATTTTGCATGTTGATATGTTTATGTATAAGTATGCGAATGATTTATTTAGGAGTCACATAACATCATTTTGCATAATTTGTATGTTACCTTCATGTGCATAACTTAATCCCTATCACATAATCGGGTTAAGGGTTTAGGGTTTAGGTTTAGGTTTAGGGTTTAGGGTTTAGGGTTTAATGTTTAAGATTTAGGGCTTAGGTTTATAGCTTAGGGTTTAGGATTTAGGGATCATTGCAAAGACATTAATTAATCGACTTGGTACCGATTTATGAGGTAAATACAATATAGTATCTTGATATTAAATGCTCAAACCCTTAATATTTATGATATTTGAACCCGAAACCTCAAAATATAACAACAATTTAAATAATTAGTTATTAAAAATATTATCATTAGATATATATTAAATATTTGTCATTAGATAAATAATTTTTTTATTAATTTAAAATAAATATAAGAATATTTATTCAAAAATATTTTTTAACCATTTTCAATTTTTCTATTGTTTGGCTGTTTTTTCGTTATTTTATTTTATTTTTCTACGTTGTCAAGTACTAGTGCAGTAAAAAGTTAAAAAAGAAAAAAAATCAACCAAACACGTGTAATCTAACATGTGCTTAATTAAATGAGCTTTTAATTTTCTTTTAGTAATATACAATGTAACAATTGGACTTGAGCTGATTAATTAAAAAAATTAAAATTTGAGGATAATTATATTATAGAATTTTTAATATATTTTTAAAATTTTATAATTATTAATAATGTATTTTAATATATTTTTAATAATGTAATTTTAAAAAATCTAAAATTATAATATAACATTTTTTTCGAGCTGCTCACGAGCTTTTCGAGTCGAATATCGAGTAGCTCGTTTCGGCTCGTTAAGAACTCAAGCCGAGCTCGAGTCGAGTCCATTCGATCCGAGTATTTATCGAGCCTTGATCGAGTCGATCTCAAGTAGCTCGCGATCTGTCTCGTCTCATTTACAGCCCTATCCGGGTCGGTGATTTCTCAGCCCGTGTCCCAACCCGGATGTTGCAGGTACCCGATTTTTATTTTTATTTTCATTTTCAAATTATTAATTTCAAAAAAATATACACAAATTTAAATGTTTGAAACTTCGAATTACATACTCTAACATCCGAACATAAAATTTAAAAGTTCGAAATACAAAATCAAATAATTCATAATATAAATAATCTATTATATATATATATATAATAAAAAAATAAAAACTAACCAGGTACTTGGGTAACCAGGTACCCGGAAAAACTTAATTTTGTGACCCGGCCCGATCCGGGAAATGTTGGGCCGGGTACCCGACCCGATCGGGTAATTTTTAAAAAAAATACTCAGTTTTTTAAGTTCGTATCGGCGGGTCGGGTCAATCGGGTCAGGTATTTTTGCACACCTCTAATCCTAATAACAATGGATTACTTTGAATTAATCTGCGAGGGGCAGGATTGAGATCCAATTCATTGTTTGTTTTTCATATATGAAACCTAAATTATCCAGCCAGACGGGGGCGGTTGCCACGCAGAAAGAGATAGAGACCGAAGGGGCTTCAGGTGACTGTTCTCCACCCTAACTGGATCCGCGAGAAAATCATCCAAGGACACTGAAGTATCAGGGAACTTCGCCAAACACCAGCAGCCTGCATGGTATTTAATTTTCTCTTCGAAATAAGTATTCTATGAAATTTAAAAGATTGTGTTAATTTTGGAGGTCAATATTCACTTTTAACATTATATCAACCCTCGTGAAATTATTTTTAGGGTTATTTACACGGATGATTACTTATATTTTGTTGATTGATTTTAAAAAATATAAGATATAATCATTTCGTTTTTATTTAATTAAGATATGGTCACCTTAAGTTAATTGTCGATAATAGCAGTTAAATATTTTGATATAATCACCATATTTGGTCTTTATTATTTACATATTGTCTCAATTTAGTCATATTTTTAATAAATTAAAATAAATTTAATCCCCTAATAGAACGATACCACGTGCCATGCCATGTGTCACCATTCGATTGGATGAATAACTTTATTTTAATTTAATATATTTATTTCCAGCAATAAAAGAGTGATATGTGTCACCGTTTGATTAAAAGAAAACAATGTAAAGCAAATTGGAGTAAAAATGATTCAAACATTGGTCACTTAAGAAACTAAACATATATCCAACAATTAAGCTAAACCATTAAGCTAAGACAATTGTTTGGTCTAAAGTAGACAACATGATGTATATATTTTGTATCTTAATGTATGAATACTTAAATTCATAATATTTTATATGTATTAACTTAACAAAAAATTATATTAGCTTATTAAATAATTTAATTTACAAATATTTTATTTTTATTTAAAAAATATATTTTATGTTAAAATTTATTTAAAATATGATTAAATTAAGAGAATATATAAATAATAGGGATTAAATTTGTGATTATACAAACTATCACGTCACATATTTTGTTAAAGTTAATAGCAATTAACCCGTGATGAACACATCTTAATTAAATAAAAACGAAAGTGACAATATCTTAATTAAATAAAAACGAAAGAGACTATATCTTATGATTTTTTATATCAATGACCAAAAGTGGACAAAACACAAATATAAGTAATCATATGTATAGTTAATCCTTATTTTTAAGATTCTAATACATTGAATTACATGACACAATATAATAATAATAATAATAATAATAATAATAATTATTATTATTATTATTATTATATTGTTTACTAAGGTAAAGTATACAAATGATCTCCAAATTATAGTGTGTTGCTTTGTTAAGTCTCTAATTATAAAAAAAATATAAAATGATCCTATAATTATAGGATGTTGCTCTGTTGAGTACTTCGACTATTAAATGTTCAAAAATTATCATCTGGTTATTCTTATGTTTCAAACTTGTCCTTTTGTTAAAAAGTTGATGGTCATTGATAAGCGTTGTTTTACTGTCAAATAATTTATCCTTAATCTCAATAAAAACAAAATAAATTAGTAGAGAGAGTAAGGGTCGATCCACAATGACTTTGGAGTTGACGATGTAGAATGCTTTTGATTATGGTTTAGGCGAAAAATTGTAAAAAGAAATGGTGGGTTTTATTGAGAGATTGTAAAAGAAACTAAAGATTTAATCTAAAGAAATTAAATAAAGAAATTAAATAAAGTAATTGAGATGAAAATAATTTTGATAAAAACAACCTTTGGCTTTTGCTTTGCCTTAATTCCAATTGATCGTTAAATAAGAATTTCGCTTCGAATTCATGTTGGTTACAGTCTAGAGGACCCAACCCTTAACTTGTTTTTCTCTTAGGTAAACCAATCATCCAAAATCAATCTTTGGATCCCAATCCTTATGTGGACTAACCGCGACTATCATTGATAGAACCAACTCAGTTTAAGTTTTGGAAAAACTCGATTTGGACTATGTTGTCTCAATGAGAATCGAATTAGATCTCAATTTCCCTTAGCGGACTGCCGCTAAGAGTGTTCACAGGAAGTTGAATGTGCTACAAGTCGATCATTCCTCCCAACTTGAAATAGAAACAACAAACAAAACAATGTGCCCTTTTTGAAATGAAAGCGTTTAGATTTTAAAAGGATGGTCGATTGCCAATCCTTGATTTCAAAAAATTGAGAATATAACACGAAGGGTTTTAAGTTCTTTTCAATTCTCACAGTCAGAATTGGGTCATCACTTAAGCCTTTGACTTATTGAAAAAATAATTGAGCATGATAGAAATCATACTCAACATTTTAAAAGAAAATAAAAGAAAACGAAATTAAAGAAAAAGAAGAACTTTATAAAGCCAAAGAAAGAAAAGAAACGCTAATTCGAGATATGTTTGATGCTTACGCCAAGAGGATATTTATAGTTCTCTAAAACCCTAAAAATGAAGGGAAAAAATTACAAAAGATAATTCTTGGAAAATATTCAAATTAAATCCTAAAAATAAAATATAATTCCTAATTTGAATTTAAAAATACGGCTGAGTCATCCATCCTTCTAGAAATGTTGATCGGACCTTCTAGAAGTTGTTGTCT